AGTACATTGCATGTATCAGATCAGTGTAATGAGGACTGAATAGATGAGTGAAGACGAAAGAGAAGATGTTGCATCAGCCCCAGGTTCCACTCCAGGCTGAGGACACATGACCCTCAACAGTTTCTTGTGACCTCTTTATGACTCAGTTCCTACCGCTTTCAAATGGGGGTAATAATATTATTCACCTCCCTACATCATAGTGATGTTGCAAGGACTAATGTTTGTAATATGCTGCAGAGTTCTCAGATGAAAGATGAAACATTGCTGCCACATATCTTTACACCATCTAAATGGGCTATGCAAGTAAAAAATCAGCATCCTGGCTGTTCTGGCAAAGAAACTGGTACTGCCATCATTTCTATTTGACATCTCCCAGAGACACCCAGAGAGTGAGAACTGCTCTGGGCAGCAGACATGCTCTTGGAAGACACGAAAGGAAGCTGAGATACAAGATCAGTAAAGAGGTCACCATTTTTTATTATGTCTCTTCCTTTCTCATCTTACTTGGGATAGAGTATTAGAGGATAAATGATCGAGACAGAATTAGAGAATGGTCGAAGCAACATTTCTTGCTGGTCATCATTCTTTCCAGAATGGGCTCTGTGCAAAATCCCTATGCCTTAGTAACTAGGGTCATGAATTGAGAGGCCCGCACTGTCAATGTGCTTCACTAATGCTTTCGCTGACCATGACCATTTACTTATGTCAGAAGTTTCTGCTTTCATCCAGCTTCCCTGGCCCAATCCCCTACTTGAACATCCTCTGTCACTCCAAGGTAACTAACATTTGTTCTGGAAAATGTGTTTCAATATTGGACTTGTTTTATAATAATATAGTTAACTTTCCCAGGCTATACTTTATTAATTTCTGTTCTTCACCTATCACAAGTCTTATCACACTCGATTTAGTTGAATAAATGGTAAATGAATGAATGGATGGAATCTGTCAGAAAAATGTTAAGATTAGAACCCAGACCACACCAAATCTACATTTCCTGTTCTCAACACACCATACAACACTTGTTAGGCATAGTTAGTGCACAGTAGAGATACTGAATAAGTGAAATCAAAGGAGGAGAGATTGATTTAAGAAAAGTCCTCTAAAGGAGCAAATTCCCAAGGGGCCATCATTGTGGCTAAGCGGATTCATGCCTGTAATGCTGGTATCCCCTATGCTGGCATTCCATGTGGGTAATGCTACACTTCTGATGTAACTCCCTGCTGATCGCCTAGGAAAGCAGTAGAGAATGGCCCAAGTCCTTGTGCCCCTGCACTTTTTTGGAAGACCTGGAACAAGCTTCTGGCTGCTAGATTTGGCCAGGCCCAGCTTCAGTCAATGAGGCCATTTTAGGGAGTGAGTCAGTGGATGGAAGGCTTCTCATTCCCTCTCTCTCTTTCAAATAAATAAACTAAAAATCCTTAAAAAAAGAAATAGCAAATTTTCCAAGAGAATTCTGAAGGGAAATGGATATTTAACTTAGAAGATTCAAGGAAACTGTCTTTACAGTATAGGCTGTTAAAATCCTTAAAAAAAGAAATAGCAAATTTTCCAAGAGAATTCTGAAGGGAAATGGAGATTTAAATTAGAAGATTCAAGGAAACTGTCTTTACAGTATAGGCTGTTTAGGAAAAACACATGTTTATATTAGGGCTTGTTGTATTAAGCATACACTCAGGTTGACATTCAAAACTCGCATGGGCTGGCCCTAATCTGTGGTTGCTGAGCCATGTCATGGCGCACATCATCCTGAACATACCTCCTTGCCTGCAGTGGGGATGATGAACTTTGAACAAGAGCTTGTGCTTTTGTTCAAGGTTTCCCTCACTCCAGATGTGTTTCCCATGGCCTTACTTTTTGTCTGATCACCACAATCTCCACCCATTAAATCTCTTTCTGTCTGGTCTGTAGATCTCTCTCAGATGCTTCATGACCAAGAGGTTGTCCTAGTCATCTAAGTGCAGAATTCCACTAACAGCATGTTGGATGTGCCAGATCAACCTGCCCAAGCCATGCTTCCTTAGTTACCTGGGTCACGGATTGAAAGAGCTGCATTCCTGAGTCTGAGGACTCATTCTGTCACCTTCTGCTTTAATGGAGGCAAGATATTTTTTTCCTTGCACTTGTGTTTCTTTCTCGACTGAATGGGCATAGCCACGACAGTGGGAAAGCTGTAAACAATGCTGTGTGTAAATGGCTGAGAATTGCACCTCCTGCATGGACACCCACAGTGATGTTTTCTCTGCTTTCCAACGAAATCTCACTCTGTTTCTAGATGCTCATAGCCAACAGCATTGAGGGTGAGTTCTGCTCATGAGTCATGCTGCCAGAGGTCAGACATGGATGTTTCCCATGAGAACTCCTGGGAAAAGTGAGGAACCTGTCAGCGCCTCACAGTGAGTCCTCAGATTCATGGAGCTATGTTGTGGCTAACGATTTTTTCCCCAGAGACTTGGTCTTTCTTCTAAGATGATGCTGGGGACTCAGCTGCTGCTCAAGAACTTGATTCATTTGCTAGGCTAAGTTTGTGTGCAGTTTCCCCCCAAGATCTTTATCAATTGCATAGTCACCCAAATCCCACAGTGGGGCAGGAGTTGCCAAGTGTATTTAGGAGCCAGGCCAGCAGGTATTGCCAGGTTCAGCCAAGAAGACAAAACATTCCTCCCTTATCTGCCCACTTCACATAATAGTTTACCTCAGCCCCAGCTGTTGAGATGAATTTTGATATATTCTCTTCCCCCACCTTGCTGAATACTTAAATGATTACTGACCAGTACTGTAAAATAAATGTTCATTTACCATTTTGAGGTGTAATATGTTTTGACAAAAATACAAACTTTTGTCACTGTACAGGTCAGCCTTTGATGATGGGCAAATCAGTGAATTTTAATATTTCACAAAACTGTGAAGTCATCACTGATTCCAATTCATTTTCATCCCTGCTGCCCAAAGACGCTCCATGCTTTGTGTTTTGACTTAAAAATATTATATATATTTTTATTATATTTATATATTTTATTATATATTTTTATTTATTGGGTTAGATTATGACACTAATTTTGTCAATTGGAGAACTATATGTTTGTAATAAATATGAGTTTGCTTTGCTTACATCTTTTTTTAATCTTATATTTTTTATCATTTGCTTAAGTTTCTCTAAAAAAGATTCATTTATTTGGAAGGCATAGTCACAGAGGAAGAAGGAAAAAGAGAGAGCAAGAAGAGGAAGAGGGAAAGAAGAGAGACAGATATTTTCCATCTGTCAATTCACTTCCTCAAATGACTGCAATTGCCTGGTCTTGGCTCTGCCAGAGCCTGAAGTCCAAAACTCCATCCTGTTCTCCCACTGGGGCAGGGCCATTGATTGGCTCCTCAGGCCCATTAGCAGGACATTGGACTGGAAGCAGAGTGGCGTTGGTCCGAACCAGACTAGGATTCGAATATAGGATGCAGACAGCACAATTTGTGGCTTAACACCTTGTACCACAATGCTAGCCCCTGCTTAAGGTTTTATATGTACTTTCCATACTCCTTCCTTGGTCTTATTCTTATTAGGTAAGTCATGTCAAGTTGGGGAAATTAAAGACAGTGTTGTTACTTAGTGTGAAGGAAGAGTCGACACTGTGAGGGGGGAAAACAGCCATTGCTACCTGAATGCCTGTTATTGGCCAGACAGTGTTCCTGAAAAAACTGGAGAGGTAGATCCTACTAAAATTACCTTTCTTTTACATGTGAGTAAATAGAGGCTTAGAGAATTTATGTAACTTACAATGTCCAAAGGTAGCTTAAGTACTGCCTAAGAAAGCCCACATTGGATCCAAGCCCCCAAAGACTCAGAACACATGTCCTCCATCATAGTGTTCTGTCACCGGCTGTCAAGTTGGAAATGGAGTTTGATAATGCCTCCGTTGGTGCCAACGTGCCATGTGCTTGTACGAATCTCTTCTATTCTTTCCACGGTCGTGCCGGGTCTTACCAAATGAGAGGAGCCAGTTCCTCCGAGGTTGGCGATCATCCTGCAGAGCCAGTGCAGACCAGCGGCTGGAATCCAGATGTGCTTCCAAGTCGGAGTGTGCGTGCTCCTCCACACCGTACTGTGACTTCTGCCCGCTTTCTGACACTTTGGTTCCAGCTTGCCTAACAATCCCACACCTTCCTTCAGACCTGCTTGAATCCCTACAAGCCCGAGGGCAGCAAGCATGATTTGATTTATGTACATAATCCCAGTGCTCAAATAATGTTCACTGAATAAATGTATGAATAAACAAAAAGGAATCTTGCTGTACAGGCCCTTGACTGTTTTATTTCTTGATATCCTTTAGCATTTAGCCACTCGTATTTGAGGAAAAAGCAACTACATAAAGTAATTGGATATAGTTTTGTTTTCTATATATTTTCCCATAATGTAGACTTAATTGCACATAGCTATTAAATGGGACTGTGTTGGCATGCACAGGAGAATATGATTACAAAAGCCTTTGAGAGGGATTAGCGATCGTTTGTAGCTTTTGGAAGCAAAATGAATGGAGATACTATTAAAAACCTGAGGATCGGGGCTTTCATTAATCAAATATAATCTGCGGCTCAGAAATCCTCCCCCACTCCTGTTCCTCAGCTCCTGTGGAGAAGGCAGACCTGGGAGTTCCTGTCCCGGCTCCTCCCTGGAACAGTCTTGCCAACTTGGTATAGTCCTGCTGGCTTTGCAGTGAGATGCCCGATGTTGGCAGGCACTGGGCAGGCAATGAATTCTTTGCCTGCAAGCTGGGCACAAAGGGATCGGCATGGGAGCAGGCTCCTTTGAGACAGCTGCTCTCCGAGAGAGAGAAAGAGAGGAGAGAGAGAAAGAGAAGAGAACAGAGAGAGAGAGAGAGAGAGAGAGAGAGAATGCATTTGGCTAGAAGCAACCAGAAATTCTTGTGAGCAGAGGATGACTGGTGGGAGGAGTCCAGTTTCCCGAGAGGAGGTGTGTGCTCCAGGAGTGTTAACCTGAAGGAGCCTTAACTCTTCCAGTGAGCTGGGGAGCGGCGCTGGTGGCTCTGCGGGCAGCGAGCTCGTCCTGGAAGTGTGTGCTCAGGACGTGTGTCAGGGAGCAGGAGTGCAGGAACTCTTTCATGGGGGACCACTTTGAGAAGGGCCAGCACGCTTTGCTCAATGAAGGAGAAGAGAATGAGATGGTAAGATTCTAGCACACTCCCCTCTCCCTCCTCTCCAACTTTCACAACACGCACGCGTGCTCACAACCTACATGCTCTCCCTCGGAGACACGGTCACACACAGCGCTGTGATTTGACTCCGTTATTACGTGTGAAAAAGTGATGTCCAAGAAATCTGTCTGACCCAGAAATGTTACCTCCTCTGACAGATGGTTGCTAGAATGGAAGCATTGTGTTCCTTTTTATCAAGTATGTTTTCTTTGGAAATAAAGCGGAAAGGGAGAGAGGCACAACGCACTGTTTGCCTTTAGAACCTGGAGACTGAGCGAGTTGTTCCAAACTCCGAGTCCTGTCAGCCATCTGTCGTGTGAGGAGTAGGGTGTTGTCAGATAGCAAGGAGCAGAACATCAGCAGGGAAGCCTCAGTACACGGCCTCTTTGACCTTTTTCTCTTCTGACATGTCTCGCTCACGGAGCTTGTCAGCCAAAAAAATCATAGAAAATACTAGCAACTCTCTCCACACACACGTCTGTTTGCTTTTGGAGTTTGACTTGTGGCTTTCAAGTTGTGTCACAGAAAACTTGAATTGTTGACGGGCTCCCTTAGTTTTGATGTGTTCCCAGCTTGGGAACTGTAGGACAGTCAAAATGACTTCTATGCTCTTGCTGAATTTTCAGCTGTATTTCTCAATTACAATGTAATCAAGAGAGAGCTTGAAGTGTGCACTTGTGTTTAATAAGGTCTTTCTGCTAATTGTGTAAGCATAGCCTTTTATGTCAGTAATGATGTAATTAAAATGTTAGAATGCGATGCTCTCCTGCTATAATAGCATTTTATCTATAATCGCATTTTATTCTCCTGGAATTAATAATGTATAAATAGCAAACCTGAAAGATATTTACTTAAAATGTTTTTGTTTGTGTGTTGTTAATTGATTTAGCCCTATTACATTCTTTGTTCTAAAACTCTCAAGTCTAATCTGCTTACCTGTTCCTATAGTAACAACATTGTTTGGACTGTCAGGAGTAGATTCATTCCTCTATCAAAGATGAAAATATTAGAAAGAAATGAAAGGCACCTTAATTCAGGTGACTCTCCTAGCCATATCCTCACTTGGCTTTGACTGCCAACAATGGCCACTAGGTCCTACCTTGAAGAAATTGCTGTCTGGTTTCATGTTAGAAATCATCTCAAAGGAAATGCGTTTCCTTACTCTTGGTATTACGCTGAGCATTTTATTCTCTTCTTAAATACATCTCACAGAAGGCAGTGGCTCCCTCCTCCTGTAATGTGTTTGTTTTCCGTCTTTCATTTAGCAACACGTCCCCTCTCCTGCTAGGCATCCTTCCCACTCTTCAATGATTGATCTTTCAAGCCGTATTAAGCATCACCTATTTTTCTAGAAGCCATTTGAACCTCTAGAGAAGCTACTGCATCTTCCTAACCTCCACGTTCCAACAAGGCCATTTTGTCCTAGCACAGCTTTGTTGCAGCGTCACCAAAGGCATGAGGGTGGTCAGCCTGGTTTTGTATGCAGTCAAAGCCTCACCAAGACAGGGCCTTTGCTCTGGCCAGGGACACTGTGTTTTCTGGTGAGGAGTCATTTGGCTAGGGTTCACAGCAGACACGATGTATTAGTATGCGCCCTGGAGCTCCTTGTTCTGTTCTGCTTGGAGAAGCCTGGCCACCTGCCTGGTGCAGTGTCCGACACTAGGTCTCTCTTTCACTCACTCCTTCACCTCTTGCCTGCAGCACTAGCCTCCAGATACTATTGGAACACCTTAAGTGTATCCCACATATTTTTATATTGATTTTTAGTTTGTGAACTATTTTTTTTAGCCACTATTAACCTTAGTCTTCACCATAACCCTATAAAAAAGATGGTGTGAGCCCCATTTTAAAGATGTGTAAACCGATGATTAGAGAATTTATGGTTATTATCAGGCCTAGGAGTTAAACTTCATATAGATTCACCTAAGTTGGCAGCTCTTCGGCCTCTGGATTTGAATATAGTCCATTGATACCTTTTTTAGTTCTTCTCCTTTCATAGAACAATTACAACATCTGATCTCATATTCCTTAGTGCCAGTATTGTTATATATGATTTATATTTTCTGAATAGATCATTCTCTTTCGCTTCCATGTTAATCCCCTTTAGAAAGTCAAGATTGTCTAGAAATGGGTCATACTAGCATTCACAGATTCTTACTTCATACCATTGCTTGAGTTTGTGTCCTTGAAAAATTAAATTTCTTTGATTCCAGAATGTCTCCACATTTTAAGATGAAACAACTCTCTATAGTTATCTCCCAGGTTAATATAAAGAACAGGAATAAGAATCAAGCCTAAAGATGCCTGGGATTACCTTTCATTCTAAAATGAAAGAAACAATAATTAAGTAGTGCTTTTGGGTGACCTCAAACGATAACCTTGAAACTGCACAATGAGACAGGAGCCAAAGGAGGGAAGAATGTGTTGAAAATGACCTCCAGAGATGGTCTTCCAAACTATGGGAAAGACTCAAAGAGTATGGTGCCAGGCTGGAGCAGAGGTCTAGTTCTTCCTGTCTGGGCCAGCCACTTACTGACTCGAGCCTCAGTTTTCTAATCTGTAAAAGTGCACCGGGGGGGGGGGCGTCTGAACCCCATTAGTGTCTCATGGGGTGTTTATGAGGATCAACTGAGAATATCTATGTGGAAGTGCTTTGAGAAACACAAAATGCTGGAGGTGTCCTAGTTGTTGTTATATAAACAAAGGTAGAAGTTAAGTCGGTTAACTGCCCTTGTAGTTAACCAACTGAATGGATATTACCCCACCAAAATGAGGTCATCTGTTTTCATCCAATAATGGTAAGAGGAAACCATTTAGACATGGAAAGGCACAGAGCTGCCCTGTGCTGGTTTTGCAGTGATTACTTTGGGAAAACACCTGCTTGGGGACTCGGGTTTCTTTATTTCTAAAAGGACAATGTCACTCTAAGAGCTCACATCCCTTTGAGTTCCAATATAATCTATATCTGCTTTGAAATATCTTAGGAACATTGAGTATTCATTTGTTTATACCAAGACTGAACTAAGCATGGCTTAGTAGCTGAAACCATCATCTCTCTGGAGAGGTGTTTTGTTTCAAGTGAGATTTTTTCAAAGATTAAGAAAAAAAAATTGGAATGGCCGAGCTACAGATAGAGAGGAAGAGACAGAGAAATTTCCTATCCACTGGTTCTTTCCCTTAAACAGCTGTAGCAATCAAGAGGAGGCCAGGCTGATAAGAGTCAGGAGCTTCTTCTCGGTCTGCAGTGGGTGGCAGGGGCTCAAGCACTTGGAACACGAAATCTATTGCTTTTCCTTGTTCATTAGCAAGGAGGCAGTTTGGAAGTGGAGGAGTCAGGACTTGAAACAATGTCCATAAACTGCTATGCCATGACACCAGGCCTTGGAGACTTCAAAATACAGTTCCCAGATTTCTTTTTTGTCCTTTATTATTAGATTTTAACAAAGAGGAGAAGAAAAACCCTCAAGTATAAAGGTAAAATTTGTTGTCAAAATATTGAAATAACCAAAAGGAACTAAAGAATGAAGTAAATATAATTGATGAGGTTACAGTTGAATATGATAAGTATCACATTGATGATTTTTCTTCCATACTTATAAAATATACCTGCATAAAATTTACTACTTTCCAGTTATTTGCTATGTGAAATTACTGATATGTGGTTTTTCCAAATTGCACAAATATTGTATAATAATGTGTAACTACACATCTCTTTTCTTGAAGCTACCATCTCCACCTTTCTTCACCTACTGTTTTTTTGAAGCTACCCTTTTTAACACATGAAAATGCACAATGGATTTTTTTTCCTTTTCATAATTATAGTGCTACATAAACATTTCCCTGTCTCAGTCATAGTTGGATTGTGTGTGTTAAACAAATCTCCCAGGTTGCATATTCATGTCGCTTCTAATTTAAGTAATTCTCCCAAATTGCAATTTCTGTTATTTCTAATTATTTTGTGTGGAACAGCTTTCTATATGCATTTTTCCATATTTATCATTATTTACTTATGGATAAAGGCCCAGCGAAATTGTTCTCCATCAAAGGAGATGTGCATCTTATATTTTGATGGATATATACTTCTCAATTGCCTTTTAAAGTGTTGTGATTTTAACAATTTATATTCAGCAGAAGTCCTTTATGAGAAGGCTTTTTTTCTCCTTCAGACTTGCCAGTAGTGAACATTATCAATCTTTTAGCTTTGGCTCATCTGTTATGTGAAATGATATTTTATGGCTGTATGTTTTTGCATTTGCTTCATTTGAAGCTGAACAAAATTTAATATGTGTTTTTTGGCATTGACTTTTCTCTGCTTTATCCTTGATGTTATTCTAATTAATATTATGCTAAATATTTAATTAAAATATTTACATTTTAAAGAATAGATTGTGACTTATTTTTTATTCTGGTTTGGTATGACATGTGGTACAAATGAATCAATGATATCCAGGTAGAATATTCTTATTGTCCTTGGGCATGTATTCACAGGGTGGTGGTGGTGGTGGTGGTGAACCATAATAAAATAATGATTGTTTTATTTGAGTGCTGGCAAATATTTAGAATATTGAGTTATGCTAATAGTAGGTTACTGAAAACTAGTGAATGTTGCAAAGCAAGAGAAACTCATTTTGAACTTCTGTGTCTTTTCTGAGAACCTAGCAAGAAGTTAATACTGCCACACTAACACTACTTAAGGTGGCAGTAACGTGGTGTGCGGTTTCCATCACGCTGGAAACCCCGTCGTGCATTCAGCATGCAAGAGGAACGTTTGTCCTCACCAATGCTCAGGCCCATTTTGATAGCTGATGTCAGTCTTCTCTCGTACCCTGAGCAGAAGCACTCCACCATCTCAATAGCCCCTTACTTGTTATGCTCCATGAGTACTTCTGAGTTGGATGCCAATGTTAACTAGTGAGCCCACAGCACTCATAGTGCAGGGATTGTGTTCAGGCTGAGACTTTTTGTCAGTG